ACCTTGGGAGATGTGTGTGGTGCCCTTTGCAAGGACTTCCATCATTGTTCAACTGTGGGGAGGAGCTGGCAGCAAACAGAGTAGAAGAACTAGGTTAAGGAGTGAGTAAGAGTGCCTTGTGCGATCTCTGCAGTCATTTGAACTTCATTCTTTAGAAGGGAGATAAGGGAAAAGGCAGTAGGAGTTAGGGAATGGCATAGGGACAGCTATATGCTGAAGCATGCCTGATCCTGTATTGTGGCATAGGAGTCTATGAACTGCAGAGATACCTTATAAAGATGACATCATGACAAGAGAGGATGGGGGCTTGAATTAGTCTGAAGCAGCAGGAAATGGGGAGGGTTTTGCCAGATGCCTCTCAGGAACCATGCAAAGGATTCAAAACTAATTAAATGTCCAGCGAGGAAGAGGGAGAGGTTCGGGCTCTCTGCCAAGTTGCCAGTCGATGTGATTGAAGGGTTCATTATTCCATTCACTAGGCTTGTAAACACCATGAGGAGGACAAAGGAACAGAGCAGAGATCAGTTTTAGACATGCTAAGATTGTGCATGGCTGTCTAGTGGCTCTGTGTGCTGTCTGCCTGGTAGACGTCCACAGTCTAGATTCTTACATTGAGAAAGATTAAGAGAAACTGGTCAAAAGTGATTTTGTTTTTATGATGATTTAAAAGGGGGGAAAAACAAATATTGTCATAACAAGTGTCATTGGCTGAAAAGCTACAGAAATGGGATTCTAGTTCCAGTTTAGAGTTCAGTGGCTTCCCATTGTCATCATGGTCAAGGACACACACCACCAGGCAGCTTCCAAAGCTATTATCTGACTCTTGCCTGCGTGTGCCTTCCCACCAGGGGTGATTTCCCTTTCCTGAACTTGTCTTCCACTCTGGAACACCTTTGCTCTTCTTTTTGACTGCAAAGTTCTTTTTGTCCCTTTCCTTCCTAATTAACTTGACATTGCTCTTCAGATCTCAGCTACCTTAGAGAAGTCCCTTTGACCCTGTGGATTAGGTCAGGCAACCCAAAAGGAGTTGTTAAAGCATCTTTTACTATTTCTTTCCTGTATGCACATTCACACCTCTGATGAGTTGGTGATATGTGTCCTCTTCCTTCAATTAATTGCATCTCGGAGATAGTGTTAGTTTCTTCTCATTAGTGTGTCTCTAGCACATAGCACAGTACCTGGCCACGGTCATTGCATATTCTTTGAATGGAATAATGACTTCAAAACCAATGCTTTATTCATCCTGTCATTTAATAAATGTTCAAAAGAAATGAATTTCTTTTTCTCTTTGTTCCTCTCTCTCTCTCTCTCTCTCTCTCTCTCTCTCATTTCTCTCTCGTTCTCTCTCTCTGTAGAAAACTGTGTCTAGTGGCAACAACTGTTAATAAGTTTTACACAGTAAGACTGTGATGTTCAAAATGAACTAAGAAACATAAGGATGAGTTGGACAGGTGAGAACAAGGAGCAGATATGGTCAAAATGCATTATACTAGTGTAGGGAATTCTCAAAATGATTAAAAAGTAAAAAGAAAGACATTTAAAGATGGAGATCTGAAGATTATTTCATACTTTGTAGAGCAACAAAAGAGTTCTTTATAGGTGCAAAATAATTTAAAATAATGAAGTATCCTATCTCTGTGACATTTACAAGGTAAAGATCCACATATAGTCAGGTAGCTGTGAGATGAAAGATATGGAATAGAGATTTGTAAACAATGATGAGATGGTAAATTTCCCCACTGGCTTCCCAGCAGAGAGCCCTTTGCAAGGACATGAGCTCACCTTGGAGGCTACATCTAGAGAGCCAGTTTCCGAGGTCAGTGTCTGCATCAGCTCAGACTCATTACCATCTTAGATAACCCTTTCCTCAGCATTAACTCTGAAAATAATGGATGTTCATCAGAATGCCAGAATTGTTAGAAATCTGGTTAAGTCATACTTAAACATACTATGTTTAAGAAAAACAAAGACACATTTTGAAAAAGTGTTACAAGGAGTTTTCCCGCCAGCCTGGTCCCACAGCTGCATCAGCCCCAAATAATACAGAGACACTGCATTAGCTATAAAGCTGTTAGCCTGTTACTAGCATTTCTTATTGGCTAGCTCTGTCTTAAAATATTAACCCATTTTTATCCATCTAAGAGTTTCCACATGGTTTTACCTTACTGGAGAGAGGGTCTGGACTGCTGTTCTTCCAAGTCTCTACATCTTGAAACTCTACTACATCTCCCAGAATCCTCCGTGTCTCCCAGTCCCACCTATCTTGCCTTTCTATTTGCCAATAGTGCTTTATTCATTAACCAATACGAGAAACATATTTACAGAATGCTATTTCTCATCATCTGCTCTTTTCTGTCTAAAATAAAAGGGTTTTAACCTTAACATAGCAAAACATATAGCAAAACAGTTATCAAATAAGAACCACAGTTAACAATGTTTAGTTAATTAACATTTAGCAAAATTTAAAGAAAATATTTCATCATCTATCCTATCTTTGTGAGTCTAAAGTGCTATATGTAATTTATCTTTAATCCTAACTTAGGAAAACTATAACCATAATTATCTGTCTTCAACTCCATCAAAAAACCACAGAAGGATAATGTATAAACTCTAGAAATGACAGAGACATCTCGCTACCTGGTCAGTCACCTGAAGTTTTTCTGTAATGTTCCATCTTCAGCCAATAGGCCATATAGTGTGTCTGGCAGACTTTAAACTGTCCACCTGTATTGACAGTTTGTCAGTCACTTCTCTGTGTCCTGCAGATTGTCTGGCAGACTCTTCCATGAAGTAGGAACCTTGTAGTACTATACATCTTGTTTTAGCAGTCACTTTCCAGTGGGTCCTGCATGTCCAGTTTATACAGCATAAAGTCAAACAGTCCAGACAAGAGCAGTATCTTGCCCAAATGGCTAGTCTTGCCATATTGAGAGTAAAATTTATAATGTGATATGTGAGGGTGACCCAGGCAAGGAGGGAATAACACGCCAGGCAGATAGAGCTTAAATGAGGAGTTTATCTAGAAAGGGAGTGAGGGAGAAGGGAAGAGACATAGAGACACTGGGAACAGAAGAGGAGAGACGGGGAGAGAGAAAGGGGAGGGGGTTGTTGGTGGCTAACTGAAAGCAGGAGGGAGAGAGAGAGAGAGAGAGAGAGAGAGAGAGAGAGAGAGAGAGAGAGAGAGAGAGAGAGAGAGAGATCGGTCATAAGTGGGCAGGGGTCTGACTTTAAAGGGGTCCATTATACCTGCCTGCAGACAAGTACTCATGGAATCTTTGGCTGACCAGAGTACTGCCTGAGTGCATTCTGCCAAGTGACAGGGGCAGGCCAGCATAATGCCTGAATCCTTACAGTTTTTCCTTGCATTTTTGAGTTGTGAGATTTTAAAACACTAATAATTTCTCATTACTCAATGTCTGAAATTGCCAACATAGCCTCCTCCACTTTCAGGTAACCTTCCCGGCAGGGCATGGCTATTTGTTACTGCCTCTCAGTCATAGTTAAATTTCATCCCCAATTCACAGCAGAGCTCTAGAAAGTAAGGGATCTTGAAAATACATTGAATTTGTATTCATACCTAAAAGAATAGTCAAGTTCTTAGTATTTTAAGACATCTGATCAATGTTTCTCCAGTTTTCTGTGAATTTCTTTGCAATTGATTTGTCAGAGTTCAAAGCAGGTAAGCATATTACATTGGGCAATCTCTTGAACTCCTTTTAATATTTAATAGATTTCCCTTTCTTTTTTAAAATTTATATTGCAATATCTACTTTTTATAAATTGAAGAAACAATTTTGTTTGTTTTGTAAAATAATCTCATGGTTTTGATTTTCCTTACTGTATCCCAGAAGTGGTGGTTAGAGCTAGAACTTGTAGTTTGTGGTCAGTTACTGATGCAGTTGGATGTTTAACTGGGTTTAAGCTTGACTTTTTTTTGGTAACAATACATATATTTCTGGCTACCGCTGATTGCTCAGATCATGAGAACTAAAGTGTCTGATTGTATCTTTTATTGAACTAGATGAATCGGGTGGGTCTCGTATCTGCAGTCTGATATTTCCCTGCTATACATCCTTCTTTCATGGCTACAGTGATCCTCAGCCCAGCCAATGAATCGGAATGACTGTCAATCTGTCACACCAATGCCACTTTGTCCCTACTCCAGGGCTGGTTTACTGTGGGTTCAGGAAATGTTTGAGTCCTAGGTGACTCTAATGTACAGACAAGGCTAAGAACCTCTGATCTGCTAATTTTGTCTGGTGTTGAGGAATTTCCTGTATAGCACCATTATTTCAGGAGAAGTTGTTAAATGGTGCTACTGCAGTATAATGGCTACGTGTATAACTAGAAATTCTGCTTTTAAAAATCTGACTCAGTCTTTGGTTCTGCCTTTACTTTGTATAAGAAAAATAGAATAAGAATAAATAAGAGGTTCATGTCATTTTCTGAATAGTCATTTGGGTGTTCATCGTGCTATAATGATCATCCTTGAGTTTGGAACATATTGATGTTTCAAACCATTACATTTATTATTATTATTATTATTATTATTATTATTATTATTATTATTCTAATGTTCACTTTGTTTGGGTTTTAGTCAATAGAAGCTTTTATGGTAGGTCCTGTAACCTTTTTGACAATATTTAATTGTTCAGGAACCATATTTAACTGCTTCATTGTGTTTAAGAATGATGATTTTAAGTTCATCTTATAGATTTAAAAATTAAGTTGTTCTTAGGTAATTTCTTCACTGAACTTGATAGCACCCACTTAAAAGTTCATTTGTCTGTATCTTATTTGCAGATATTCTATTTAGTGTATGTGTGATTACTAAATGGATTAGCCAGATATTTATGGTACCAGTAAAATTCAATAGAAAGCCAACAGGTTATTAAGAAAAGCATGAAAATTATATAGCAAAGTCTCCATTTACGGTTGTTAACCTTCAAGTGAATACTGCATAAATCTCTGGTAACCAGTTTGTTATTTCTTCTCTTTAGTTAATGTCCATCAGTGTCTTGGCCGTTTCTGCTTGGATGAGGGACTACCTGAATAATGTTTTGACTTTAACTGCAGAAACAAGGTTGGTCTATTGAATTCTTTCACTTGCTCTACCCAGATCCCAACTTTTAAACATCTTTGCTCTGACCTGTTCATTGAGCTCTTCTCCTCCACCATTTGTAGAAGACATTTTTCTGCACCAGCAACTTATTTGCTGAAATTTACATTTATTATCACATTTTTATTAAGGAAAACTACTAATCTTGCAGGACATCAGGTAACAGTGCATTTGCATGGACAGTTCTATGGTTAGTAACAAACCAGTTGTCTGTCTGGCTTGTCCTTGTCTGTGAGTGGAGACTTTACTATGTACCACTCTGAATCACAGTACGGATCAAGTGAGAAGAAACCTTTCGAAAAGTCTGTAATACAGCAGAGCGTACAAGCACTGCACTGAATAATGGCTAAGTTTCATTATGATCACATCACAGGCTCTGATTAATGACTTCATATGTCCTAGCAAAAAGTCCCTACTTTACCTTCTCCTGTTCTCCAGTTTTCCTATGTATTCCTGTTCCCCTCACATTAGAAAATGATTAGTTATCAGAAAGAAGAAAAGTGCTGTAGAGACTCCGAGATCAGAGAAGAGGTCAATTCCCCTGGTTGGGACCTTGGTTTCTATAGGCTGGTGCTTTGGAGCCTATAATTAAAATGTGTTGGGGAAGAAATGCTAACACCTACATAAAAACCAAAACAAAGATAAAATAAGCAAGCAAATAGACACAAAGTGACAAGTCACCAGCTTTTGAAGGATGATAATTTGCAGAACCACAGCTCACAGTGGCATTTGTTCAGTGTCTGGGTCTGGGGAGCATTTTGGTCTTTTGATAATGATCTATTTATCTTGTGATATGATCTTCCTCTTTTAGGGTAGAAGAGGCAGTCATATTGACTTACTTCCCCGTCGTTCACCCGGTCATGATTGCTGTTTGCTGTTTCCTTATCATCGTGGGAATGTTAGGATATTGTGGGACAGTGAAAAGGAATCTGTTGCTTCTTGCATGGGTACAGTGTTTATACCTTCTCTTTATTATACTTAAAGAATTGCATGATAACGCATTGCTATGAGTCCATAACTGTATTAGCAACTCCAAGAGGTGGTCATAACAACATCCTGTCAGACCGGACCTTTCTTTCTATATGAGATGACTTTGGCACAAATATGTGCAGAGAGATAACATAGACCATTTAAATATTTCACTTCTGCTCTGTTTTTGACAATATTTTGTTTTGATAATATTTTTTTAGTGGTATATTCCCTCCTCCCTTCAGGGTCAGAGTTCCATCATAATGTAACCTCTCTCTTTCAAACAACCCACCTGGCTACCCTATTTAGAAATTCAGGTGGTGAGACGAGATGGATGGTACATTGCCATCCCCATACTGCCTTATATTGTCTGGTGGGTACAAGAGTCTTAGTTTCCTTAATCTAAATGTTTTATTCTTTTATTATTTTGTTTTTGTTTTACCTCTGAAAGAGTTGTGCCAAATTGCTTCTTAAATTGATTTTACTTCTTCAGCTTCTATAATTAATCTTATAAATAATGATGGCTAACTTTAAAAAATAAAAATGAGAGTCAATTAAAATAGTTTACACATGCATTTCTAAAAGAATACTAAAAGTAGCATTCTTGTGCCACCAGGCAGTGAGCCTGCTCACATGTAAGTTGCAGCTATCAGAGACTGCAGAGAAATTAATGCATCGACTATGTTTCTTTCTTCGTAGTAGGTTTCAAAATGAGTAGTTTGCTGGCTAACTGGATCTTTGGGCTGAATGAAGGAACTACTTTTTAGCACTTAGAGTATTTCCATAAGGCAAAAAAACTCCCAGCATGACTGACTTCAAGTTACCCAGATGACATCACCGAATGCAGGACTGGGGAGGAGTGAGTACAGATTGGCTTACCACAGCCAGCTTGCTCAAGTCTACGCTTGCCAGCCTCCCAGCCATGCCAATTCAAACAGAATCTTAGTGTGAAGCCGAATTAAGCTCTGAATGTCACAGCCTTGAATAAATTATCGGTATGTTCCTTGGAGAGTATCTCCCAGGTTGGAGAATAGAAAACAAAAGTTGTAGAAAATAAGCCATGCTCATGGAATGGAAAATGTGCTTAGCACCCTCCTTCACACGTGGGCCCTAGAGAAAAGGAGAATGGTAGAAGGGTTTCAGAGATTATGGTGTTCTTATGATGTCTTTAAGACACTTGGGGAAGTTTAAGAACTCATGTGCTTGACTTCATACACGTCTCCTATAATCTGAATACTGTGAGAATGCATTTCAGAGGTAAGAAAACCACAGCTGCCTTCCTAAAAACCACAATGATAAAATGTTCTCTCAAGACCAGTTTCTTTTATATCCAGTTTCAGTGTGATTGGTATCTTCTGCTTCTTTCCAACTTTTACTCTGGATTGTCCTTGGAAAGTGGTATGAGGTGAAGGGGGGGGGTCCAGGTATACTATGGAACCACAAAAACTTTTGAGAACACATTTTAAAAACCATTGATGTATCCCATTAGGCTGTCTCAATGCTAGCAAAAGAATCCAGTAGAGTAATTCAGTCTGCTCCTTGACATATTTGACCCAGAATTGTGAATGAGTGTCTAGTTTGTGATGTAGGAAAAGGCCTTATAATACACAGTGGCATGGAAGACTGAGGTCCTATAGGCATTCACTTATTCATTCACTGATTCTTTAAATATTTATTGAGCTTGTAAATGCTACATTTTTTTTCCATCAGAACAATGCACATGGTAGATGGATAATTCCACTGTTCTCTGATAAGACCTCTATTAGGGCTTGCAGTGGGTACTCTGAGTTCAGAGAGGAACAGCTTCAAGGGCAGCCTTAAAGGTCAGCACAGGTCTAGGGCTTTAGTAGTGATGTTGAGCACATCCTCTTTATCGCCCTTTCCTGCCTCCTCTCCCTTTTATGTTTGCTTGTGTTCTTTTTTCATGAGGCACCTTTGAGCCATCACTGCTTAGAGTGGTGCCACCTACATCTTGGTTCCTTCTCTGTCAACTCTTTGGTAGTCCAGTCTTCATTCTCATTATAGTTGCACTACTCACAGCAAGTTTCTAGACCTTCCTCTGTGTAGACCCAAGCACATCTCCATTGCTAAAAATAAACTGTGCTCTTAACTCCCAGTGGTCCATCACTCCCAACTAATATGTATCTGCTGTTTCTCAAGCTGTTTATCCCGCAGCTTCCTCCCCAAGCTTCCTGTGTCACACACAGCCAGTCCCTATGGGTCTTGGTTCTCCAACTGCAGGAACTCAGCCCCCTTTTCTGCTCCTTTTCGGTTAGCTCTTGTACAAGCTCTCAGGATGGAGTTTCCTGCCTCCACTATTGCCTATTTTAGCCCAGTGTACTTCAGTTAAGACAACACAACCATGATTGCATTAATCCTGTTACGCTCTAAGACTCTGATAGTCTCCCCATTGGGAAGTGAAGGTTTTACAAGCATCTGGAACGTGCATCAAACCCTTCTATCTTTAATCCTTCATCTGCCAGTTTTAGCTTTCATACCTACTTCATTATTCTCTAGTTAAGGTGTATTTTCTAATCTCTGGGGAGTTTTTCTTCTCCCTTTCCCTGCGTTTATTCTTGTCTCTTTAAGAATTCTTGCCTTAACCCTTTTGTCTAGCCATTAGTGTTCCATCAAGGCTTATCTGAAATGTTACCTCCTGAAATAATAGTGACAATAAGAAAAGTAGTGATATTTCTAAGATGCTTCTCATGCCAGACACCGTAGAGTTCTACTACTTGCATTTTGCTGTGTTACTGTATAAATACTGACTTTTCCTAAGTTTTTTTTTTTTTTTTTTTTTTTTTTTTGTAGTGTGTATTGCAGAATGCAAAACATTTTAGCAAACATGGTAGCAGTGGTCTCTGACAACTAAATGTTAAATGAAGCTTAGAGAGCTCAGTAGCCAGCCCAAGGTCACTGAAGGGTGAGGACTATGGCTGCGATTCAACCCTCGGCGCTTCTGATTGCCAAGGCCAATTCTCACTAGGCTTTTTCTCCAACTTGGAATTCCAGTGAGTTGGCCTGGTCATAAATTTCTTATTATGTAAAATCAGTCAAAACTACCATACTTTGTTCGAATAAATGTTTATTAAGCACAGTTACAGTTACAGTCACAGTCATGAAAGGCCATGACATTAAAATGGCGCTAGAGAGTTGCCAGCACCTTGGACTGAAGATGGACCATGGGATACTGTGAGAGTAGATGGATGAGCTTGGCTGTGGGGAAGGTTTAGATTACAGAGGGAAGGGCTTGGTTAAGGGGGAGGGGTCAAGTCTGGAGAATATGACATTGTTAGGTCTTGAGTAAATATTTGTGGAACAATCATTATGGTTTCTTCTTTGATGCCTCTTTGCCTTTTATCCTAATTGGGAAAACTAACTGGAGGTTCATTCTTTTTTATTTAAGATATAAATATTTATGTATGCACAATGTGTTTCTCTAATTTGTCTGTCTCCCTGTATTAGGACTTAGTTCAGTTTTCTTTTTTCTTTGTAAGTCGTATAAGCCGGATTAGTGTGAAAAAGCAATTTTGCTTTGCATTACTTTTGTCAAAACCACTAATATTTCTAAGAGCTGATGTGTCTCTTGAATAGTTACGAAAACAGGACCTGTGTTGGACTGGGATCCCATTCAAGTAAAGTAAAAGTGTCATTATCCAACTGTCCAATTTAAAACAATTTCAGGGTCTCCTTCCAAACAAACCCTTTTAACCAAGCTGTCCCTGCCATGCTCCACCCTAAAGACACTAAACCAAACTATCTGTAAACAAACAGGCTACCTATTAAAAACTTCTGATGAATGCTCATTAACATAACCCTTGTATTGAATTATTGGTGTATAGATGCAAGAGTATTTAAGGTTCCCAATAAGACACAAATTGTATAATTAAATTTAAGATAAATAATGGATACTTTTATGTGAGTATATAACATGAAAAGTTCAGAATATACATGTACCAAAATATTACTTGTGTGTGTGAGGTTTAAGTGACCATTCTGTTTCTGGACACCTTACTCTCTCTGATTACAAATGTTTCTTCCCTCCCTTCCTCCCTTCTTTCCCCTCCCCCGGGGCAGGGCCTTGTTTATGTAATACATGCTACAGCCCAGCCCTAGATTTGATCTTAATAAGTATGAAACTACCATAGAATAAGAACATATCTTTATATTTCTATTTTTTAAAAAAGACTCATTTTTATGTGTGTGAGTATTTGACTCCACGTACATAAGTGTATTGTGCGTGTGCCTGGTACCCGCAGAGGTCCAAGAGGGCATTGGATCCCCTGGAACTGGAGCTACAATCAGTTGAGAGCCTCCATGTATGGGTTCTTGGAAACAAACCGAGGCCCTCTATAAGGGTGGAAAGTGCTCTTAACCATGCAGTTACTTCTTCAGCCCCAGGAACATATATTCCTATGAATAGATTAAGAGTAATTAAATTCTAATTGTGAGAACATACTCATTTCTCATAGGTCAGAAATAATTGGGAAAAGAAAGTTGGACAGTGGTGACTTTCCAAGTAATTTCAGTGACACAAATTCCTTCAGCATTCGCAGGGAAATTGAAGCTAAATGGAAATTGGTTTTAAGCTTTAGATAGGTACTCCCCAAGGCTTTACTAGTAGACTAAATGAAATTCATTTGCTATTGCAGTTCCGCTCTGCTATTAAGGCAGGCATTAGGGAAGCTGTGCCAGCTCAGGGGGAATGTAAACAGGCTAACAGACACACACTCTTACAGAGTCAACAGCAGCTGAATGCGACCATCGGGTCATCATTTGCCAGAAGGGAAAGCTAATGTTTCTACTTCCCAGTCAGCACATGGCAGGTAGCCACGGACCGGTCAAAATGAAGCTGGTAGACACACAGGGAGGACCTGTGGATTCTTTCAAGGAAGAGTCATTTTCAACGCTCTCACTCCAGACAACTTGCAAAAAGATGATTGAGTTTGTGGAAGCATTTCAAAAGCTTCCTTAAAAT